AAGCTATGTAATTTACTACATTGAAAAAAATAAATTATAATTATTAGCCAACAACTTGGTTGTACACATGGAACATTCAAATGAATGTACAGATAAGCTATTGAAATTAATACATTTATCAAGATCCCTGGACACATGGATACAAAAAAATTTTATATAAGCAAAAAAAAAAGAAAATGGAGCATGAAAACAATAATATAACAGCATCAAAAGCCACCAATCACAAAAGAATAAATCCAAAAAGAGAGAAAGAAAAATAATTCCACCAGCATATGGAGAACAATTAATGAGTAGTTGAGTAAGCGGAGAAATATATTGCAGTATAGTCAAGAACTGTAAAACCAAATATTGTAATGATGTTGATTCTCTTCAAATTGATCTATAAATGTAAAGTGATCCCAGCCTGAAGCCCTGCAGGGTTGTCTTAAAATAGAAATCAATAAGGAAATTCTAAAGTTGAAACGCAAAGGCAGTAGGCTACGAATGGCAAAAACAGCCTGGAAGCCTAGGAACAAAGGTGGAATGTTCACTCCATTGCAAATCTAGGCTGACCGTGAAGCGACTGCATGAAGTCTGTGATGCTGGGGCAAAGACAGATCAGAGGAACAGAGCAGAGAGTCTAGAAACAGACCCAGCCCTAACTAGTCACCAGAGGTATGGCAGCGGGGCACGTGCGCGCGCACGCGTGCGTGCGTGCGTGCGTGTGTGTGTGTGTGTGTGAGCGGCAGTGGTCTTTCTGATAAGTGGCAGTGAATGAACTGCTTGTTAGTAAGGGAGAAATGAACCTCGACTCTTACCACACTCAAACACAAATATCAACTCCAGTGGATTACACAGCACTGAAGGTAAAATACTAAGGCCTCTAGATGATAAAAATGAAAAAGTCTTCATGATCTTGGGGTAGACAAGTATTTCTTAATTATATATATTAGATATATGTAAGTATAGTGTAATATAGTATATAGTGTAATAAACAAATAAGCCGGTAACATCCTGTATTATCATTACTCAATATTCTGTACTGAACTTACAGACGGTGCCAAAAACATGTATACACATTTTAAGAAAGGAAAAAACTGTATTAAAATTGTAATACTACAAGCTGATAATGAGAGATGAATACAAGTTATGTGTGACCTCTGCACTGACAAGAGGTGCTCAAAGTGGCTGCCATCGGCGTCCAGACACTTCTGATTACGGCAAACTGCAAGTGATACAGAGACAACATGGCTTAAACTGAGTATACGTGTCTTTGGCAGCCCGCGGTTGTATGTGCTAAGCTTTCCTACAACTGGCAACACGGGAGGTTTGTTTACACCAGCATCGTCACAGATACGTGGGTAATGTGCTACACAGATGTCATAAGAGCTATGCCGTCACTAGGCGAGAGGAAGTCTTCAACTCCATGGTAATCCCACGGTCACTGACCTTGTGAGGGGTCCAAGCCAGACTGTGAGCGAAAAAAGACCAACAGGTCCACCAGATGGTGACAAAACCCAAGACTAAACTTCTTGTGAAAATGTTACCAAGTATTGAACATAAAAAATGAAATCTTCATCAAGGAAATAAAGAGTTACTATATTACTTCATATTATTTAATGGCATATTAGTAAAAACCTAGTTGGATTAAGTTTTACATTGTGTTTAATTCTGTAGATTTAGAACAGGCAAGAAATCAACTGTCCTCTGCTTAGTTCTTGCACAATTGAATAAGGGATGGGGTGTTGACTTGTATCGTTTTTTTCTTAGGAAAAGTAAACTACTTGGGCATTCTAGTTAGAGTCTAACAGCCCTGATCTAAATTATTTTAAAAGCCAACCAAATCCTTCTTATATGGTAACTGCTAAATGGACTAATTATTTTAGAGCAATTATTTTGTTTGCTATTCTCTCATTTAATGGAGAAACCAATCCTTCCCATTTCAAAGGGCTTGTTACTTAGAATCTTAAAATTCCAGTGACTTGATAAAATGTATTTATTTGAAGAATTCACGGGACTCCGCAGGCCCCCATAAAGATATACATACCCCTAGAATTTGAGGACAAGGTGGTCATTATACATCTCTGCTGGCTATGAAAAATGGTAAAAGAAGAAAATTAGTCTTCTTGGGATATATACTTTAAAAAATTAGCTTCATTGAGGTGGAGCTTTTATGTGTGAAAAAACCTGCACTACACCGAAAAACCCAGTTTGAGAGTCATGTACACCTGCAGAACCACCACTACAGTCAAGAGACAATCTACCACCTCCAAGACTCTTCCCGCCCTTCTGTCCCCGTCACCCAGTAACCACGGAGCTGCTTTCTGTCTTTAAATGAGTTCATTTTTTCCCTAAGTGGATATCAGTTGTTCCGGCACTATTTGCTAAGAGAATTTCCCATTGAACTCCTTGGTGCTTTTGTTATAACTTAATTGACCACCTACATGTGAATTTATTTCTAGACTCTATTCTGTTCTGTTAATCCACTTGTCTACTCATCAATACCACAGTCTCAATTCTGCTGTTTCATAGTCTTGAAATCAGGTTGTGAAAGTTCCCTTTTTCTTTGTAAAAATTGCTTTGGCTCTTCCAATTTTCAAATAATGGAACTTTTGCTAATGCATGTTTTATGCCCTAAAATGTAGTTTACGCCTCACTGCTGGGTCCACTTGCATGAAGCATTTAAAATAGTCAAGTGCATAGAAGCAGAGGGTAGAATGGTTGGGGACAGGGGAAACGGGAAGTAGGTATGCCACGGATGAATTGTTAGCTATGCAAGTGAGTAAACTGTAGAGACCCACTGTACAGCCGGTGCCTGTAGATGAAACAAAATGAAATTTTTGTTGTTATGATTGTTTGACGAGGAACCGGCGGCATATAGAGAACATTCAAGAACACCAAAGGCAAAAAGTTGTGACACTTGGACGTGAGCTTTCTGGGACCTTAATGCAAAGAAAATACTGTGAATATGCACCAGAACGATGCACTCTTCAATCAGCTTTACAGGTGGGTTTCCCTAGCATGTGGCGAGCAGAAAGGCAGGAGAGTCGCAGGGAGGAGATGGAAATGTGCCTCTGTCACCCCGCTGCATGACACGGGCAGCCTCGTATCCTGTAAGCCCAGCTACCTCATTTGTATGCAGGTATCTACCTCTGAGGGCTGCTGTGAGGCTTGCGGGAGACCGTGCATGTGACATGCCCCGTGCAGCCAGCCCAGGGGCAGCACCGGCTGTCGGCTGCCAGCATGAGCACAGCGGTGAGGTGCGCTGCATCCTGCGTGCGCAAGGAGTTCATCAAGACCAGAGAGGGAGTGATCCGCTCACGTGCTCCATAAAAGATGCCTGGGTGATGAGGGGCTGACGAACAGAGCCAGCCTCTTTTGTGTGTTTTGATGTACTTCATCTTAGAATTCATTTTTAAAGTGGGAGTAATTGCCAACATAAATTACACCGTATTTTTACATTTAAATAACCTGCAGCAAGATAGATACTACCTCCATTCTGCATATGAGAAAACTGAGTTATGACTAAAGTCACAAGTGGGTGGCACTCAGGATCTGAGTTCAGCTTTGTGCGACTCACAGTTGAACTGGCTTCATAACCATCTGCCTGTGCCCCTGGGAATGCTGCAGGCATCTGACCCGTGCCATCATCAGGGCGGCCATCAGTCAAAGGTGGCTACTGCCTGTGCTATAAAGAGCATGCTGTAGTTTGAAGACTGCTACCAAAAAAAGAGTAAAGTATCTCAATTATTTAAAGTATCTCAATTACACATGTAACTCATATTATACTTCTGTGTGGTAGCATTGATTTCAGTCCTTTCCACTTAGGTTCCCGGAAGTGAAATGTGGGGGTTTTGAATAAAAATTTCTAGGAATTGGCCTGGCGTGGCAGTGTGCACCTATAATCCCAACACTTTGGGAAGCGAAGGTGAGAGGAATGCTTGAGGCCAGGAGTTCAAGACCAGCCTGGGCAACATAGCAAGACATCTTCTCTATACAAATAAAAAATTTCCAGGAATTAAAAACATCAATCAGCTACACTCAGTCCTTTAGTTGACTGTCATCTGAACTTAATAAACATAGATCTTAAATGGCCTTGAAAGCACTTCAGTGTACAAATGGAACAGTCACCTAGTAATCCCACAGATGGCCTGGAGCATTCTGTTAAATGGCAGTAAAGACATAACCAGTGACTTGGCAAGCACATGTTGTAGGCAGTTTTTTTAACTGCTAGGGCCATCGCAGGTGACGATGGCATGTGCGTTGGCAGGACATGAGAGGTGGAGTTGACTTGGGCTTTTATTTTGGTATGGGACACACTCAAATCTCTGAGTAGTCTCTGGGCTTTTATTTTTAGGACATGGGGTCTCATTTTCTGAACAACCCTTGCCAGAAACACTGACACTCAAAAATGACTGAAGCTCTTCTAACCCTCCAGATCCTGTTTATGATTCAGTTCATTCAACTTTTCTGAGATGATCTAATTTGTTCTAACCAAAATGTTCAATATTTGATTATATAACATTATTAGTCTAGGGTTATTGGTCACATAGGCTGGCTTGAAAAAGATAAGGCTTGGTGGACATTGGAAAAATGTCCATTTGGTGAGACCTCATCTCTACAATAAATCAAAAAAAATTAGCCGGGTGTGGTAGCTTGAGCCTGTAGTTCCAGCTTGGAAGGCTGAGGCGGAAGGATCGCCAGAGCCCAGCAGGTTGAGATTGTGGTGGCCAGGAGCGGCCACTGCACTCCAGTCCGGGTGACAGAGTGAGACTCCAACTCAAAAAAAAGAAAAGAAAAAATGTAACTGAAGAAACAGGGAAGTTGGTTAAGTTTCCTTCCCCTATAGTGTTAGCTCTGGTGTCAAGAAGTTAAGAGGAAACTCTGGGAACAGTGACAGAGAGGTGAGGCAGTCCACGGGAGAGACTGAGAGCAGATACTAAATGAATGCATGCTGGATGAACAGTTCTCGATCCAAAAGATACACATATACAGATGAAAAAAATAGTTCATGCCTTTTGTGTTGTTCAAAACATGTAATTTATTTTCCTTGACTATTTATATTTATGCTTTCTGTCACTATCCAGCTTTTGTTTAAGCCTGAGCTATATTGTGGTTTTAGCCCCAACAGAATAACCATCCCTCCAGCCTTAGAATTTCTTTACCCTCATCATTTGCCTTTTTGTGTGGTCTGTATAAAATGAGGACTGTGGGAGAGCAACAATCCCATCAACGCAAAAGGTGTGAGAGTGCCCAAACCAGCAGAGCTAGGCAGATACAACCAGTTTCAAAAGTAGATATGCTGTGATTTCTGGGACTAAGGTACAGTAGTGTGCATGTCTATAAGGCAATCCTGACTCGCCATTAGAGTAAGGATCTTATAGGTTGACCGGGTGAGGTAGGACCAGCCACAAGACTGTGCGAATTCCAGCAGGGGAAGGTGTGTGCCACTTTCATGGACAGAACACCTTGCTAACAGTTTTCCTGAAACTGTTTTAAAAGACACAGAACTGGGGTTTGGGTGTTTTTTTTTAACTTATAAAGGTTCGAGTCTCTAGTGTTAGCTCCTCTGGTTGAAGATGAAACCAACTGGCTATGGCGACGCAAAGAGAGCTGAGCTGCACTAGAATACTTAAGACTTTAAAATTAAATTCCAAGTTACCTGATAAAAATATATGTCGATATACTAACTACTCAACAAAGATCCAGGATATGGGGTATTTAAAAATACATTTCTCTTGGATCAGCACCAAAAAATATCAGTTTCTGTACAACCTAAGTCAAGTTTTTAAGCATAGGCAAGTTAAAATTATTTCTGATAACAACCACAAACTCCACAGAAATCACTAAAGATATATCCAAACAACTTTCAAATACATTTTGACATCAAGGTCAGGCAGTTCAGAACATTATAATGAGCATCACTGGATTTCTGTAGTGAGAAGACGTTTGACGTCCACTTCATATAATGGGAGCATTTCACACCACACAAAGGAGGCACCGGTACTTAGAACCGTAAGAAAACTATGAGCACTGTCAAGATTGAGGTGAAGAATTTGTGCAGCCTTCCACAATTTCAAAGAGGTAGTGGTAGATACTTGTCCTCCTGGCGATGTCAGACGCAGTTTCTTGCAGGCTGTTTTTCAGGCCTGGTTGGATATAACGGTTCATCAGGAGGAGTTCTAGGGTGTCCTTGCTGTTCCTGCTCCCAGCGGCAAGGTGCAGGGGGGTCAGGAGGCCCTTCGTTGGGGCATTGATATCCGCATCGTGCTGAAGTAAGAAGGAAGCCACTCTGGCATGATTCCACTTACAAGCGCTGTGCAGGGGTGTCCAGCCATCCACGGTCACTGCATGGACATCCGCCCCTTGTGCAACCAGCTCGCGGACAATGTCCATGTGTCCACTGTAGGCTGCTCGGTGAAGAGGGGTATAGGCATCCTCATCCCTGGTGTTCACATGAGTGGCCTTTTCAGAAAGAAGTCTCCGCACCGTAGTAAGCTGAAAAGAGCAAAAGAAATCTCCTGAAGACCCAACTCAAAACAACAGGCTAAGGAAAGTAAACTGCTTTGTGGTGTTCGATTTCATGAAGTTAAAAAACTTATTAGCAGATGACTCTAAACTGAGAACAACCTAAGATTTCTCTTTTGAGGAGAGAGGACAGTGCATCTAAAAGCCAACAAGTCAGTGTTAACGCTATATGCTTCAATACTTCTAAGAATAGGACTTTATTCGAGCCACACATTTACTCCTGGTCCAATGAAGGATTATTGCACAAAAGCTTCAGTTCCAGATGAATAATATAGGCTGCAGGTGTATCTACTATGTTATTTTTCATCTTTAAGGAAAACACTAACTAATTAAATACCACTGTACATAATGCATAAAGCTTTCAAAAATAAAACTTCTTTTAACAGAAGAATAAAGTGGTAACAAGGCAATTTGGGGCTCAAGGGTTCCAAATACAACGTAGAAACACGGTTTCAGGCCAATTTTCAGTTTGTTCTAAGGCTCTGGTGGGCCACGGATGCTCCTGAGTTAAAATCTATCTAAAATGCAGCACCCTTTTAGCTGTTTGTTTACTAACACAGACATGGGGACCTTTGCAAAATGAGGTGGAAGTGGCAGAGTGGAAAGAACGGTTTTTTGCATCAATTCTACTTGTATGATCCTGCTCAAATGAATACGCCTGAATCTCAAGTTCTTGTTCTGCAGAAGAGAAGAATATCACCCATCTTGTAGGGCTACATGGGAATTAAGTCACCGAGAGTTGGTATTCAATAATGCGAACTCCCACCCTCCTTTTCCTAAGCGATACGTATCGCTGGGATGACCCTAGTGCCCTGACACAAATGATTTTCAAACCCAGATGACTGCTCGCTATCTTTATCACTACTTGCTCACAAACCCCCAGGTAATCGCTAGCGTGACACCGTGCAGCTTAACATGGCCTTCGTGTGCGCTGCCTCATTTGATCCTCATAGTCCTCCATGAAGAGACAGGTGCCACGATGGCCATTTTTGCAGAAGAGAAAACAGAGGCTCCGAGATGGCAAGTGCTGGTCTTCTGGCTCCAACTCAGTGCTTTTCCTACCGTTAGGGTTCTCTCTTTCATGGGGGTGTGTGTGTGCGTGCGTGTGCGTGCGCGTGCGCGTTTACCCGATTCTTTTCAGCAGCCCACAGAAGCAGCTTGCTTGGGTCTTTTTCCAGTTTCCTTTCTTCGAACTGACACCACTCTTCCTTTCTCTCATCTTGCTCTTCATCTTCATCAGAACTGCCCACCCAGAGACTTTGAGAACCAGTGGGAACAAGATGTCCATGTGTTTCCAACAACTCAAGCTGGTTGAAGTGTTCAGAAAAGTCCAAGGAATCCTCTTGGTCTCGTTTTCCGTCATCTTTTTCTTCTTCCATTTTCACTACTATTCTAAATAAGAAGCACTTCAAGTGCCACTACAAGCAGTCTTTCTAGAGACGAATTATGTCTGCTTTATTATTCATCAAGATCTGAAAAGACAAACACAAAAATGATCAGAAAACAGTAACTGAGGTTTTATCAACAGCATAGATAAGTCTTACAAACATACACACATAAGCCCTGTCCATTGGTATTGTCATAATAGCGGCTGATACCAGTTTGTGAGTTAATATGGCAGCTTTGCAGAAGGAACACCACTTCCTTCAAAGCCTTCATTCCTCTCCCAGGACTTGGCGACTATGACCCTCCTGTGTACTCGTGACACCTGGACCTGGTCTCCCCATAGTACTTACATCCTCTCATGTTTTTCTCACACCCCTTACATCCACTAAATATTGGAGCTGACAGACTTCAGTTAGCTATAGTATTTAATGGTCTAACTCTTTCTGTTGGGAGCCAGCCTTGGAGGTCCACATGATTGACAGGGTCCCGGTGGGCCGAAGACCCCGGGCCGCAGGGCGAGCCCGGGAAGCTGAGGCCCTTATGTCTTCCACCTTTGCTGTTTGATACGGCTGAAGAAATTCTGTGCAGTCGTGGAAGAAGAAAATGGCATGTTTATGCGAAGTACTCACACCTAACCTGATGGTTCATTTTCCCATTTTCCCACTTTGCCGCTTGGCCTTTTCTAACATATGCAAGGGCTAAACTCTGAAGCTCATCAAGAATGCTTTCTTTCACTTGGTTATAAGTTACTAGATATTGCTTGAATAAAAAGATATTAGTATATTCACTCCTTATTTGATTTGGAATTATGCAGTTTAGTGTTTAAGACATAAGGTTTTTTAGAAGCACAAGTTTACGGTAAGTTCATTATGAGCTCATTGTAAGTTCTAACACTTATCTAGGAGTTATGTAGGTGATTTATAACACTGTCCCCTCAGACTTAGGATAAAGATTAATCGTTAAGGTTTTTACTTAATTCTATAGTTAAATTTTAAGTAAACGTTTATAGAGTGGGTTTTCACTGAATTCGTAATATAATAATTAGATACTTTTATGATAATTAATTAAATACAGAAAGCAACCTTGGGGGCCTGGGAAATGTCATTAAAAGCTTCTTTCGAGTTTCCTTTAGAAATAAACACTGCAGGATAAGAGAAAAGTAACGAAGACCCCTGGACAAGAAAGGTGATTACAAAAGCTTTAAATGTCGTAAAAGCCCAAGAGAAGAACTGCTACATGAAGAACCGGGCACCAGGGAACTTTCTTGAAGCACTTCAAGGACTGTAATTTGGGACTCTTTTGAAGACAGTTGCTGGCAGTGCTATTCTAGACATGATAATTGTTTTATCCATGTATTACTCATAATTGGCAAATGTAATATCATACAAGTTTATATAATCAATATACATATGTATGAGGGTTGACAAAAATTATTAGGCTCTGGTTATGTTTAACAAGGTTTTTACTTTGTCATTAATTAAGTTTTAGTGCTATAGTTACTTTGAAGATTGTTTTAAGTTCATAAGTTTAAGTTCACACAATGATAAAATTGATGCCTCAAAGATAATAATAATTGCTCCACTGCCTATCTTAAGACAAAGATGTTTGCCAGGAGGTTGCCAAGCATAAGGGAAAACAGCCAAATCACCATTATCCTAAACTTAAAAGCTCATTGGCAATTATGCAACCATAATAATTTTAGTTGTTAGTTTCATTTCATTATGTTTAGTTCACTTTATATGTTTATTCAGAGTAAAGATTAGTGTATGTATCTTCACAGTAAGTGACTTTCATAGTTATTCTGTAAATGCTAGCCGCTGTTGTGTGGTCAAGTTAAGGGGCTTCATATTCCTACTATCACTAGGTACAATCTATAGTTTTGTATTAGTGATTTTAAGGCTTTTTTAATTAGACAAGTGATGTGGAACCGAAGTCAAAGTAAACCTTGTATGCATTATGTTTAGTTTAAGGGAAACTCCTTTTACACTTATCTCGAGACTCATTAACTGAAAGTAGGTAGTGCTTTTGGCTTATGCGTTTCTTCTAAAGACCGCTAGATGGTGGTAACTTTTAAAGCATATGCACATGAAGGAATTTTCTTTGTCTTGCCCCTTTGACAAATGCTATAAAAGCTTTCTGTTGACTCATAAAGGCTGTCATCTGTTCGGGAAGCAGGTGTCCGGGTATAAGGTTTTCGTCTTTGGCCTATCCGTCTCTCCTTCAGGAGATCTCACGACCTGGCAAAGGGGCTGGACCCCTTCATCTTTCTACTTATGTCTGTTTGTTTTCTTCTAAGTCAACTGAATTATTTTTAGAGTTTACTGGTTTAGGTAGGAGGGTATTAGGCTACAAGTGGTAAATGCCTAAAGTCTGAAAAGTATAACTGTACAATACAATAAAGACTGGTACACTCGAGATCGGTGTAAACTAGACACACAGATAACATCGAGACGAGAAACCGTTCCTAAAAACGACTTCAAAGGATTGGGGATTCTCAAAGATGGACTCGATCCCCAGTGCGGATATCTTTACCGCAACATCTGCAGTAACGATCCTGTTTCCACTGAATCACGTCAGGCCCAGGCAGTCCCAGCTTTAAAGGCAGCCCTACGCCGTGGCAGACGACTTCGCCTTCGCTGGCTCCTGGCTTTGAACGGAGCTTCCTGCATTCAACAAACACAAATGCCAGGTATGCGCCGCTCTCAGGACCCAACACGACCCGCGTCCTCAGCTCCAGAGCCCGCGTCTGGCGGAGGCGACGGGCAGCGGCCACCTACGCGGGCCGGCACTCCGGGCGCCCGAGGCCCGCCGCGGCGGGACGGCGGCCACCCGGCGCCGC